GAAGGAAGGAAGGAAGGAAGGAAGGAAGGAAGGAAGGAAGGAAAAATAATATAGTCAGTTTAGAGTAAATGAGCACTTGAGGGTTTGCCTGTCATGTGCTCTTTAATCAAGGATGCACTGTGCTGCTGAAATCAATGTTACATACAATTCATCATCATTTGAAAAACTGGCAAGCACTGGCCTGTGGCATCAGTGATCTACTTCACCACTCCAACACCCAAAGGGAAAATTTACACTACTGGGGCCCATTTACCATGCATGCAAATTATTGTGATCAGGTCCATATCATTTTATATGAGTGTAGTAAGCTACTCATATAATTATGCATTAAAGTTGTAAAATAGACAACTACAATGCAAAATTAGTTATCCAAAGGACAAATGGAGGGATTGGGTTTGCTGATGACATACCTAACAAAAAGTCTCATTCAATCTATCGTGTTCCTTACAAACGCATGCATTGTGTGAACTAGCCCATAACATACTTTACAGGCTACACCATAGATAACAACAAAATCCTGACTGTTCATTTGACTGTCTTATATTATTAAATGAAATTCACAACTTTCATTAACTGCCTGAAAATAAATGCTTAAGCTACCATAAATCTAAAGCATTATACCTTTATGGTATAAAATTTTTAAGAAGATGCCCCGTAATGGCATCAAATGATATTGTAATCTCTATTAAGACATGGATAAATGACAATCTCCTTTCATCCTTATCCAACCCATGTCTAAAGGAGTGATGTTCAGAGCAATCAGCAGAGCTAGAGTGCTGTGATCTGAAACCAGAATGGGAAATCTCAAACAGATTGTTAGTAGCTAAGTGAGATAAAGCACTGATCCTCAAATATATAAGGAAGAATGTGGGCTGGGAGAGGGAAGATAAAGAAGCTGTCTCCACAATACTCCACTCCTACAATATGTGCCTGGGCAGATTTATGACGAAACACTCTTTGGTTTGGTGTGCTTGAGGAATGTTTGAATAGCATTTATCATCTCTTCTTGTTCTAAAGGCTATACTGCAGCAATCGAAAGGACACTGCACATACCCAAACATTTCCTTATGCATTCATAACAATGAAAATGCCCACATATTAGATGGCACTATAATTTCTGATTTAGCCTCATATATGATTAAAAGAGCATGCATCTTCATCCATATCCTGTACTCTGGTTATGTAAATTGGCTCTCACATTTGTAAGAATGGACTACCAATTTCTAGTAACGAGTTCCTATCTACAGAATCATGCCAGAATTGTATCTGAAATACTTTAAATGTACTAAATATATACTGCTGCAAGTAAAGCCTTTTTTAAAAAGAGGGAAACTTTAATGTGATTTTGAATGTTTAATTGTAAAAAGTATTATTTAAGTTACCCCCAAAAATGTTACATTCGTACCTATTTCCACATAACGACTAGGTAGATCCCGCATTTCACTGGCATGACGTTCTTTCACCGAGCATATCTATAAAAGAAAATCATATTAATTATGATTACTTGCTTTATAAAATAGTGTGAGTTCATACTAATGTGTTGGCAAAGGTACCTAACCACAGTACATGTCAAGATTATAATTTCTGGAAATATTACAATATAAGAGACAAATGCTAGGAGGAGCTACACATAAAGCACATAAATGTCTCAGAAAACAATGACATTCTGGAAGAGTTTGACCTTGTTTGAATTTCAAGTATAACATTAAGTCTAGTATCCCTGCTTTTATAGATGTCAGATGAAAAACTGTCAGGCTGTAGTGACGAAACCAACAAAAAGTCTTTTGTCACTTTGAAGCCTACCAAATTTATGCAGCTTGCACTTCTGCAGACACATATGCTTCATCAGATACATCCAAGGAAAGAAAGATTCTTGTCTATGGAAAGTGGTAAGGTCATAACTGTGGTAATGTTCCAATGGACTCTTTGTTACTTATTTTTATTTTTGCTACAGAATATTTTTTCTCATTGTTTTTAGCACTGTTTTGTTTAGGTTCATATGAATATATGTTTTTGTTGGTCCACAAAATATGCATTTTTATATACATAGCATCACACAACTCCCAAAGCTTACTAAACATTTCTTACAATGCAATCCTATAGTGTCTATTAAAGTGCCACTGTATTCAATGGTGTTTACTTCCCGGAAGCAAAGGTTAGAAGTCCTGTCTAAAAAACACTGTCATCTTAAAAAAATGGCTTCTACATAAACTTCTTCAGCTCATTTTGCATTTCTTTCTTCCTTCTGATTAGAAATGAAGGACAACTGTTTGGCAGAAAACCGTTTTGTCTGCCCCCCCCCCCCATACCCTCTCTGAGAAAGCATGCATTCAACATCCCAGGATTCATTACTCACTAAAGTTAAATCTGATGGAAAATAGTTGACAAAACATTCAGCTTATGTATTTCCTTCCTAGACTAAGCAGTTAATGAAACTCACAATTCTCTTAGCAGCTCTCAAAGCACACCACTGGAAGACAAAGGAGGAAGATCATCCCACAGTCTTGCCTACTGCACACGCTTAGAGAAATCTGTCTGACCACTGGGCATTTGTCATTATTCCTCCTTATGAAGGTCAGCCCAATGACATTTCTATGGCAGCAGGAGTTCTCTGCACAGTAGTCAAATCAAATTCCCTTTTTTCCCCCCCTATCGTCTTCGCTTTTCAGAAATAATCCTCTGTTTGTCTGTGATAGCAGCAAGCATTTATTACAAAGACAGGTAATTGTACCTTTACTGAATTTCCCCAGCCAATAATCAGTGTTAAATTATCTTTCCAGCAAAGGCTGCAGGGATACATATCAGGACGAAGGCTTATATCATCTCGGGGCACATTGGTGATTCTTTGCTTAGCAATCATGTCGAATATCTTCACACCCTGGAAGTTTAATACACAGTAAGAGAATTCTGTGTGACACCTTACACACAAAACCACAGTCCAGAAGTATAATATCACAAGTTATAGCAAGGTGGCAGCACAATCCTACTGGAGGCATGGAAAAGATTTTGCTGAACAGACACATGAAATTGGAAGCAGTTGGCAGGAAAACTGCTAATGTGAATCCTCTTCTGCAACAAGCTCTTAAAATATTTGAGTAAACAAGGGAAGCAGGTCAGCAATGACAACTTAATTTACAATCAGAACTTCTATATGCATAGAAATATCCATGCACATGGATCATTCTTTTTTGTATTTCTTATTCTGTAAAAAATACTACAAAGGTGAAATATGGCTTATAAAACATATAAAAGTATTTTTCTGTGTTCTTTAATTCTCTAAAATTAAATTGTGACAATTAACTTTTGCTATTTCATAAACATGTTGTTTAGAAGCCCATTTCCTCCTTGAAGTTAGCTTTACCTCTGCTAAGAAAAATTATTACAAATTCTTAAGATACTTATCCCAGCCATTTTCTTCAGGGTGACACAGTTAAAGCAAAAAGTCTCAAGTACCTACAGGGAGAAGGTGTGACAGATGAAGAGTGGCCTCCTTTCAGAGGTGATAATGGGATGTTCATCAATGGCTGAGAGGGCCACATGGAAGGCATAAGTCAAAGGAAGGCCTGATCAATCAATTGATCCATCCATCCATCCATCCATCCATCCATCCATCCATCCATCCATCCATCCATCCATCTTATCAAATGAATTAACATTTTGATCTTACTGATAGCCTCATGCTAATGTTAAATATGTGTTGATATTACCAAGTCAATTTATATGTGTACCTCGAATCTTTCTATAATATTCTGGCTATGTTCCAGCTTTTCTATAAAAACGGTACCACCAAAATAATATGATCTGTACAGCTTTGGTCAACCCATATATCTTTTTCAATTACTGTTCCCTGATGCAATTGTTATTTTGTTGTGGGTTACTGCATTCTCCCAACACTCATACCTTTGATAAGCAGCTATTGTAAATTCAGTCCTGCTGTGATTATAATATTGAATACAACTACATAAGCATCGTGCATTCTGCTCTGGGAACTGAGCAAGATGTGGTTATGGCCAAGAGATGAAACACCTTAAGCCACTCACTGTAAGACTGCTTCCACTTTTGAAGCTATAAAACTGTAAATTATTTGGATGATGTGCTTTACTTTGACCAGAATTTCAAATCACAGTATAGAGAACTGAATGCTACAATTTCTTTCCTTCAGGAGAAGAAGCTTGTACTGGCAAGGCACTCCAGTGTCTTAACAATGATTGCCAAAGTTAAACTAGAAATGTCTAAAGTAGGAGTACACAATTTGTGTCTCTTAAGGCCATGGGAGAAGTCTATAGAGCTGCTCCAAAACTTGTTTATGTAGTGGGGAAAAACCTTATTTCCTCAAATTTTACAGAATATTTACCTGCCTTATAGCATGGCTGAACACTATAAAAAGATATAGCATTTGAAAAATCATTATACATAATGAATTTTTGGAAGTTGCACATCTTAGGCCCTTTAAATGTTGCTGAACTATAGCACCCAGAATCCTTCACTGTTGATTATGCTGGCTGGAGGGTGAGGGGATTTGGAGTACAATATTTGGAGGGTACAGGTTCCCTAGTCCTGCCTTAAAGAAAGTGCACTGATTTTGAGAAAAATAGTGAGGGATTATGACAATAGTAAGATTCCCAGAAAAGTGGATTGGGCTACCACTCACTTATGGGTCAGACTGGAATAAAAATATCCCTGATTGGCAGATGCACATTTCTTTCTGAACTTTGGTATGGGGAGTTATTCTACAGACTTATGCTATGAGTCTTTTTCTACTAACCAAAGAGTGAGAATTACATTAAGATCATGGCAGAGGGTAAGAGAGATTTAAGACCTCATATGGGCCACAGACAGTGAGTCAACATTTTTTGTTCATAGAGCAATCAACCATGTTTTTTGGTTGAAGAACCTTAAGTAAGAGTTGATTCTGCAATCCTTTGCAAATTAAATTTCTAAATGTTCCCTGAATGGGCTATGATAATAACGATTTGTCTCTTGTACAAGTTGTAGGCTTCTCTTTTGTGCCTTCTGTTTTTAATAGATAAATATGTAATATTTCTCTTATGCACATGCTCATACACATGAAGAGACTTGAAGATGGATCAAGGCGATGACACCAGAGAAGTACACTATCAATCTAGCACAACTCACCATATTGTTGGCCCAAGCAATCAGGTTTCCTCTCCATTTCACATTTCTTATAGGTCCCTCTCCTTCATGTAAAACAGAATGCTTCCATCTATTCATCCAATTCTTTTCAAATAACAATAACTAAATAGAAGGATAATAAAAAAGGGTTTTTTTAAATAACAGATGAATATAAATGGGTAATTACCTATCTTTTCATTAGAACAATGAAAAGTACAGAATAAAATGTGTTCAGTTTTCAAATGACCATACCAAGAAAGACCCCAACATAGGCAAGGAAATACAAGCAGAACTAAAAGTATAAGCTTTTAGAGCATTACACTAGGATAGACAAAAATTTAATCCAAAATTTTTGCTTTTGAACGGTTTGCCAGAGCTAAAATCTCCCCGTATGATTCAAACACCATACTTTCAAAATATTAACCTTTCTAAAAGTAGGCAATGCCAAATTTCAGCTGCAATCATGGAAATTACTACAGCAGACACATATGAACATGGAGATGCATGAAGACTACAGGTTGCCTACTGCTGCACTATACAGTCATTCCTCAGGTTCCATTCCTCCTCTCTTATGCTGCAATCATGGAATTGGAATCCTTCCCTTCCCTTTTCAACTAAATATAGGTCCTTGCTACTTCTATGGTTCATTAACCATATTAACTGCAACTTACATTATTTGAGCTGGTGACTCCTGAAGAAGTGGACAGAGCTCTCTGTGCTGTCAGCTCAGCTACCTGCTTACTGGATCCAGGTCCCTCCTGGGTTGTGAAAGCGGCCAGGGAGGTGACTCACAGTTGGCTCCATGCAGTAGTGTTTGCCTCTTTAACAGAGGGGATTGTGCCCCCAGCCTTGAAAGAGCCAGTAGTGTGCCCCCTTCTCAAGACTCAACAGATTTTGATAACTATCAACCAGTCTCCAACCTTTCCTTCTTGGGGAAGGTTGTTGAAAAGATGGTCAGTCTGCAGCTGAGGAGAACACTGGACCAAACAGATTATCTAGACATGTTTCAGTCAGGTTTCAGGCTGGGATTTAGTACTGAGACAGCTTTGGTTGCGCTTGTTGATGACCCTTGGTACAGCCAGGATGGTGATGGTGACCCATCCTTGTGCTCCTTGATCTCTGGGCAGCTTTCAATACCATCAACTATGGTATCCTTTGGAGCCAACTCCATGGGTTGGGGACACCGTTTTACAGTGATTCTCTTCCTTTCTCTGCAGCTAGTTCCAGTCAGTGTTGGTAGGTGGGGATTGTCCCCTAGGCCCCTACTTGTGGGGTGCCACAGGGTTCTATTCTCTCTCCCCTCCTTTTCAAAATCTACATGAAACCGCTGGCTGAGGTCATCTGCCTGCTTGGGGTTTGGTATCATCAGTATGCTGATGATACCCAATTATATCTTTCAACCCCACGCTGGCCAAGTGAGGCTGCCAAAGTTCTGTCCCGGTGCCTGGAGGCTGTGTGGGTTTGGATGGGAAGGAACTGTCTACGACTCAATCCTACCAGGACTGAGTGGCTGTGGGTGTTTGGGCCGCCCTGATCTAGGTATATTCCAACTTTGACTTTGGATGGGATTGCACTTCCTCATTCAAGGATGTTGTGCAATTTGGAGATCTTCCTGGATTTACAGCTCCTATCAATGAGCAGGTGGCAGCTGTGGCCAGGGAAGCTTTTGCCCAGCTTCATCTGGTGCACCAGTTGCACTCTTTCCTAGATCAGTGGGCTCTTCAGGCAGTCAGTTACGAGTTCACCTCATAGGTTGATTACTGCAACACACTCTACATGGGGCTGCCATTGAAGACCATCTGGAAGCTTCAGCTGGACCTGAATGCAGCAGCGTGGGCAGTGATGAGCATGTAACACCTCTGCTTTGTGAGCTGCACTGGTTGCCAGTTTGCTTCCAGGTGTGATTCAATGTGCTGCTTGCTACCTATAAAGCCCTACTTGGCATAGGTTCTGGTTATTTGAGGGACTGCCTGTCTATGTTCAACATCTAGTATATATTCAACCAGTTTGATCTGGCAGGGTTGGTGCGCTCTGGGTTCCATTGATCAAATAATGCCACTTATTGGGACCCCGGAAGCGCGACGTCTCTGTAGCAGCAACTGCCCTCTGGAATGAGGTCCCCCCAACTGAAATTCAAATGGTTCCCACCTTACTGGTATTCTGAAGGGCCTTAAAGTCCTGGGTCTTTGCCTAGGCATTTGGAGAGGACTGATGCCCATTTCTTCCTTTCTGTTCCCCTCTGGGTTTATTTATTTTTTTGCCATCATTGTTCTTTTGTCTTGTGATGTTTTTGTGTTTTTTTGAATTGCTGTTTTTAAATGTTTTAATAATTGTAAACCACCTAGAGTTGCTGGGAGTCAGGCGGCATATAAATTTAATAAATTACTATTATTATAGGATAGTTAAGCACAACACGGAGTTTGCTTACTTCAATAAAACACAGATAATACTACAACAGCTTTCCTAGAATCAAAAATAATTAGAAACTTTCACTTCAGAACAGGAAAGGAAAAGGGATCCATATGAGTCTGCAGGTTACACATGAATATTAAACTATGGTATGAATAGAGCTATGGGATACCACAGAATGGTACACCCAATATTCACTTAATCTCTTACTGTATTTATTACAATCTCTAATAACTCCATACTACTGTAGCTGGTCCCTCAAAATTCAGCAGATGTTGGTAGGGCTGCACTTAAAGTCGGGTGCTTAAGCAAGTGTTAGAATTGAATATAATCCATAAATTGAATCTAGACCTAGTTACACTTAGCACAGCCCCACTGAACTTAATGTATCAAAATACAATAATGTTAAGTCCTGTTCGTTTCAATGGGGTCTACTAAAATATGACTAAATCTGGACTTAACCCACAATATTCCAACTTGAGAGTTGAGAGAACAATGAGAGACAATTTGGTGAGGTGGTTCAAGCTACTGGATTAGAAACTGGGAGTCCTATCTGTTCCAGTCTGCCTTAGGCACAGAAGCCAGCTGCATGACTCTGGGCCAGTCATTCTCTCTCAGCCTTAGGAAGAAGACAATGGCAAACCACTTCTGCAAATGTTACGAAGAGAACTGCGAGGATTTATTTCTTGAATATGTAATGTTCCTCTTTGGATTTTTACAATGAAAAATAGTATATTTTTAATATTAAATAAGGTGGTGGGGAGGAAGGACTAATTTGCAATATTGGCACTGTACATTTACTTCATAAGCATAAGAAGGCTTTCCCCTAAATCTTGCTACAGTAGCTAAAGACAGACTAGTTTGTACATTGTGGTGGAGGAGACAGTGAGAAAAAGCCACCATAAACCCTTTCTAACCCGTGGATCAAGGCCAGTGGATGGCCAGAGAATGAATAAGAAAAACTCATGGAAACCTATATGAAACAACTATTATTCGACTATTAAACTGATTTTTTGCTTACGAAAAATGGAGAGTGCCTATTTTATGCACAGCCACAAGGTGGTACCAAAAGACAAATATTTCAGTTGAGATATTTCAGAAACCAAGTTTAGAATTAGTCACTGTAAACTGGACTGAGGAAAGTTGATAAATTAAACAAAAATGAATATTTACATTGTTGAAGGAAAAGAAGTCACCCAATTTTCACCATTTAGCTAAAATACCATAAATTAAATCAACATAATGTGACTTCTATTGAGTGCAGTAAAAATAAATTCATTTCAATTATATTAAATCAACTTAAATTAATGCCTTTCACTAAATGGATTATGACTAGACTTGATTATAAAATAAAAATAGAGAAGGGAGTTAAGAAACTGAGTATTTATGCTCTACAAAACTGATCATTGTTATTATGATTTCAATGGCACTTAGTAGCTGTGTAGTTGTGTCACAGACATCCACAGGGAAACATTTTCCAGGGAAGGGTAGATCATAGCTTCAGTGTAGGATGTGAATATAATTTGCATGCAGAGCACACAGCTCTGTCCATTTTCTTTTCTGTTTGCTAATGAGCCAATTTGCTTCTCTTTTGGGTGGCATCACCCTCATTTTCACACATTTGACAATTTCATATGATTTGGAGAAAAGGTCCCATATTTTGAAACAGGACATAAGACGCTGCCTTATACCAAATTATACTGAGCTAAATCAACAATAATCTAATCTTCAGTCTTTTCTAGCTTTACTTGGAGAAGAGAGAGATGATATCTGGAACATTATTATTATTTATTAAATTTGTACCTGCCCAATTCCAAAAACTCTGGACAGTTCACAGGTAAAACATAATAACATCAAATAAAACAATACAGTGGAGGGTAAGAATGAACATAAAAAACACACATAAAATGCAGAGATTGTATCCATTGAGCTACAACTCTTTCCTTCACCTTGGGTGAACATTTCATAGAGATGGTGGTACAGTTTGCATATAATATCTTTTGCACTGGGGATTCGGGAGAAATAGAATATACTTGACCAGAGTTTAGAGCTAAGAGCTTGCTTAGAGCCTGTTGACCAGCTACTTTTTTAACCAGCTAATTTTTTTGCATTGCTTGGATGTTATGGTGAACTTTTTCTTTTTTGAATTCTATGTTTGTTCTTGGAGTTGTAGATTTTGTGGCTAGTTGCATGTTTAATTTTTTTTTTTTAAAAAGGTCTAGTAGCACCAAAGAACAGGTCTATAGTTTACTTTTCTTTTTCTAAGCCAATTTCTATTGGTGTATAAGCAGGGAAGTGTTCAAGTTAGATCTCAGGAATTAGGAGATTAGAATTAATAATAAAGGAAAAAAGTCAGGAATAATCCATGTATTCCAATGTAGTTAAACTTCACAAAACAGATGAGAAGTAGTCCTAAGAAAAATGGATTAGAATCAAGTCCTGTTCAGTTACATTTTATTTATACATCAGTCAAAAGAATCACTGATGTACAAATGTAATTCAAGAATGTGGGCAAGTCTATATGCTTTGTGTTTTAATATATCTATGCACATTTTAATATATATACAATTTTAATATATATTTGATGCACATGGAGGACATGTTTTTGGAGATTTGACTAAGTTACAGATTAGAATCAGTTATTTCTTTTCAGTAAAATAACAAAAGAAATGTGGGAAAGAAAAAGTATTATAAACTGAAACTAAAAAAGAAAT